GCCAGCGCCGCCGCCGCAAGCAAGCTGCTCTGACTAAGTACATGCGCCGCCACTGCGCCATCCTCCTCCAGGAGGTCCACGGCTCGGAGGCCCTGCTCCGCACGTGGGTGGGCGCGCAGCCGTGCCCGTACAAGCTCTTTTTCTCCGAGTTCGTCGGCAGCGATGACGACGAGGCCCGTCCTGGCACTGGCGGAGTTGCTACGTTGGTGCCCTGGCTCACGCCCATGCAGCTCGAGCAGCTTGCTCCTCACCAACTGCCTACCTTCGCCCACGAGGAGATCGTCAAGGGCCGCATCCAGACCGTCACCGTCACCAATGCTGTCACGAACAGCTCCATCGTCATCATGAACGTCCATAACCACGAGATCTACGCTCGCGGCCGCGACCGAGTGCAACGCGCCTGGCATCAGCATCGCACCTGGGCCGAGGCCGACTACCAGCACCGCACCTTCATCGCCATGGGGGACTTCAATACTGCCAGCCGCCCGCCGAACAGCTTCCTGCAGCCTCAGCCACAGCGCGCTCGCCTTGCTCTGGACAACAGCGCCCGCCAGCAGCAGCCTTTTCTGGAAAGCGCTCTTCGACTCCATGCTCGAAATCGAATCCGACTTACCGACCCGCTTCAACAAGTCTGACTTCTCCGCCTCAGCAATCGACCGCGTTTTCATCTGCTTGCCGTCCCATGCCACGCTCGAGCTCACATCGCAGATCAACATCGTACACGATCCTGCCATCCTGTCAGACTCCTTCCTCAGCGACCACGCGATCATCTCCTACACCATCGGCATCAAGCCGCGCACGCCGACGGACGACCAGGCAATCCCCCCTGCGATCTTCCGCGACCCGAACTACGCCAAGTACCTGGACCAACTGATCACCCACACCAAGACTCAGCACGTCCCCATCCAGAACCGCTGGCGCACGCACAAGCGCCTCATGGTCGAGGCTGCGAGGCTCGTCCGCGACGACTGGGTCAGCTCCACCGGGGGCGGCAACAAATCCAACCATGCCGACGGCCGGGTCCTCACGGCGCGTTCGATCTCCCGCGCGGTCTGGCGCCAGGATGTGGCTCTCGCTCGTCGCCTCCAGTCCACCACCGAGCTTGGCGCCAAGTGCCTCTCGATTACCGACGGCCTCATCGCGATCATCAACCAGCCCGAGTTCGCTGCCATGACAGCCGCGCTACACCGCGACTTCGAGGCTCGGCAACGCTCTCTGGCGCAAAGAGCTGCCCAACGCCCCCTTGGCGCGGCAGGGGCCCTCGAGCCCGAGAAACTCCGTCGTATCTTGCGAGCCTCGCAGAGGCGGGCTCTCCTTTGGGCCCCCTGGAAGCGCCGTCTGGTCTTCCAGGGTATCAAAATCTCGGGCCCAGATGGCCCCCCTGGGGTCGCCAGAGAGAGCTGCGATATGGCGGACGCCCTCCGCACCTACTGGAAGCCCGTCTTCGCGCACAAGCTCGTCGATGCCGATAAGGTCACGCAGTACATCTCCGAGCACATGCCGCTGGGCGCCGCCATCGACGCGGGCGCGCCGACCAAGAGGCAGATCCGCGCCTTCCTGACTCGCACCTCGCCGTCGGCTCCAGGACCTGACTGCCTCCCATATCGCGCTTGGCTCGCACGCGACTCGTCGCTGGACCTGCTTGAGGACCTCTCGTTCCACCTCTGCTCGAACGCTAACTTCATCCACGACCTGAACGATTATGACTTCGCCTTCCTGCCGAAAGGGGACAACCTCGTCGGCGAGATGCAGACCGACAGGGCGCCCGAGGACACGCGCCCGCTCTCGCTCAAGAACACTGATATCAAGGCCATCGCTGGCGCCGCCAACTTCCTCCTCAAACCTGCTGTGGCAGAGCGGACTCACAAGGCGCAGCAGGGATTCGTAGTCGGCCGCAACTTCACCAAGCACATTGTCATTCTTGACGCCGAAATGCGCCGCGCTGGGATACGCCCCGACGCTGCTGAACACCACCCTGTCTTCACCAGCTTCGACTTCGCGGCGGCGTTCCCGTCTTTGGGTCGGGCCTGGCTCTTCGCGGCCCTCGAGCGCTTCGGGGTCCCCATCGGCCTCATGAGCCTCTTCCGCAACCTGTGCCACGCGCCGAACAGCTTCCTCAAGGTCGACGGGATCCGCCACTTCATGTTCGCCATCGAGTCGGGCGTCGCGCAGGGCTGCCCCGCCAGTGGTTCGGCATGGGCCATTGCGATGGACCCGCTTGTCCGCCATATCGCCTCCTTCATCGAGCACCCCGACGGCACGCCCGACTACGACAAAAGGCTACCTCGGCGTCTGCGCGGACGACACTGGCCTGCTCACATTCTCGTTCGACACGCTGCGCAAGGCATCTGAGCCTTTTTCTGCCGCAGAGGAGCTCGCGCTTCTCTCCCTCAAACCTCGCAAGTGTGTAGTCGTGCCCCTGTGGGCGCCTGTCTCTCCTGCCACCACCGCCCAAACGAAGGCGCTCCTGGCCGACCTTTGCCCTTCCTGGGGTGGCTTCACGATTTCGGGGCGAGCCAAGTACCTCGGGACCTTCCTTGGACCCTCCTCCTCCCTTGCCCTTCAATGGCTCGCCCCAGGGCAAAAGTGGTGGCAACGCAGTAATTTGCTCAACCTCGTCCAGTCTGGCAGTGATGCCACCGTTCGCTTATATAACACTTCCGTCTTGTCCACGCTCAGCTACGTTGCTCAGTTCTTCCCGTTCGATTCTAAGGTTGGTCGCCGTGAACTGTACGTCTTCCACAAAATGCTCAGCATGCCGCCCAACTCTTTTCGGAAGGTAGATCTCATCTCGATGGCGAAATGGAGCCCACCACCTGTCCTTCGCTCAGCTCAAGTCGCATCTGTCGCAGCAGCCATCCGTGCAGCCACTTTTACACTCCGTGGAGAATGGGAACCATTCTTCCACCGTCTGCGAGACACCGCCTGGGAGGAGAGCACGGTCCATTCCTTCCCTCGGTGGGAAGCAGGGCGCCGGTCCCCCCCCTTCTGGGAAGAGACCTCGTCCATCGTGCAGTTCTACCATGCCCTGTCTTGCGGGCAGCGAGTCTCGCCATTTTCTGCAGCAGCCGTGGCCCTGGCGAACCGCGCTGCAAGAGCCGAAATTCGCGAGGCGCCTGCTGCTGACCCGCCGCGTCGCCCGAAGGTGCAGAGGGCGGTCGCGCTTGCGCTGCAGCGTTCCTTTTTCTCGTCGCCGTTCACCGTCACTCTCTCGAAGCGCCTTGTAGCATGGGGCCCTCGGCAGCCGCCGCCTCCCCCAGAGCTCTCCTTCCGCTGGTCAGCTCTCGCAAAAGCGCTCGGAGAGGTCCGCCCCAGCTGGCGCTGGGCGGTTTTCAAATCGCTCAGTGGCGGGTGGACCACCACTTACCGCATGCATGTGCTCGCGCAGCGCTCCTGCGTGTTCGGGTGCCCGAACGCGCCCGATTCATTCCCCCACTACCTCTCCTGCTCTGTCCTCCTGAGCCTCCTGTGGTCCCCCGACTCTGCTCCTCTCCTCAGCACATATGCGACCTGGGGCTTGGGCCCCGCAGCAGCGTACCCATCCGAACCTGCCAGCGACCTCTCCTTGCGGCAGACGATTCGCAGGGCGGCGCTGGCCTTCCATTTGTACAACAAAATGAAGCAGTACGCAGCGCCGTCGCCAGCAAACATTGCTGCAGCGATGGCCGCAGCGAAATCTCTCCTGTGGCGTTGAGCCGCTGTCCGCCATCTCACGCGCTGCCTCTCTCTCTAGTCAGGCGTGTGCGTGTGCTGGGCTGACAGACGTGGCCGCCTCAAGGTACGTTCACTCCTCCTCCCCAAGACTTCCACGCTCAATGCATAGCACGCTCGCCGCTTCACCCAATCGTCTCTGTTTCACCATTTCTGCCGGCGCACCTATGTTGTGCACGGCTTCTTTCTGTCTTTCTGCCCCATTCGGAAAAACAAAAGCGTAGTTCATCCGCCCCGACTTTACCATTCCCAGGTTCAGTTGAAGGGTTTGTTTTGCGAGCCGCCAAGACTGAAGGGTCATTCCTTCCCCTCCCCTGTCAAAATGAACGGCTCGCTGTCCCAACTGATTCATTTGAAGTGTTTGTTCTGCCAGCCGCAAACAATGAACCGCTCAGTTTCTCAACCCCGTCGAACATGAACGCTTCATTTATTCTTCC